TCTCAAAAATCAACATTGGTCACTTGGACGAATTCAATTGGTTAAGCAATGTTCAAGTCAATCAGTATGGCTTTGTAGAATCTTGTCAAAACAGACAAGACAGTATTTGTCTGCAAAGATGTGTATTATCTTATACTAAGTCATACTGAATAAATATTAAACCATTTCTTTAGATTCTAATTTTTTTAAAAAACTTTCCAAATTATTTTTATCTTGGAACAATATATGGATAAACAACATATCATTTGTAGTTCTTTGGGTCATCCCTTTTAATTTTTTTAATAGTGAATCCTGGTGGGCAGTGTTCCAGCCTTCTGCAACTCCTCTAGCTTACAAGAACTGGCTAAAAATTAACATTAATGAACAAAAGAGCTTCTTGCTTTGGCTATTATCTTTGGACATACCTTATCTAGATCTGCCCTTTTTTAAATATTAGCGAGCACTGTCTCATCCTTCTTTGTTGTAAGTTACATCCAAAACCAGATAAGGTACAAATACCTCCTCTTAAATCATAAACACAGTAAGTTGGTGGGGGTTGTTGTTTTTTCTGTTTGGTTTTTGTTTGTTTGTTTCATTGTTATTTGTGGGTTTTTTCCCCTCAAAAAACATACAACTATTTCCTAATTTTATATTGTACCTACACCTAGATCTCTTCTCTTTGCACGTAAAAAATTGATGCCTTCTCCTCTGAACCTACATCACCTGTATCTCCATGATTACCACATTTACTTTCTCACCTGCTTCTTTAAGTTTGCAATTATATTCGCTGCCATTTACTTCCTCCTCCTCTCCATCCTCCCTGCCTAACGCGCAGAACGCTTTGTGTTTTATTAACACAGTTTCAGTGACTGTGGAATCATGCCTTTTTGGCCATCAGTATGATTTTGTTGAATACTTTATAGCTTCCATTAACACTCTCCTTTTAAAGATACCTTCCTGGGCAGTTATCCTGCCAATTGTTTAAACTCGAAGAAACAGACTCTTCTAAAGCTCCTTACATTACTGCCTGATGCCATATTCTGTTTGCACAAAGCAAATACAGACAAATAACAATCACTGGTACCTAGGCAACCGTGGGATTTCAGGTCAGCTATTAACTCTTTTTTATCTGCTGGAACAAGGTCAACTATTGATTTATTCCACAGTGGATGCAGAACTGTGTGCATTAAAAAATGACCTATTCCTTCTAGAAGCTTTCTGAAAGTCTTTTTATTGGCATCATGAAATGTCAAGTAAATATTACCTGTTTTAAGCAGCCTATTTTATTTGCCTCCCTATAAGAAGCATATACATAAGGAAATGTTTGTTCCATTCCTGAGGATCTCTCTGGGACCTCACAGAAACACATAATACGTGAGAGATGGTTTGAAACCCAAGTAACTTGAATTTGTCAGGAAATGCTTATGTCTGCAGTGCTCACAAATGGCGAAGGTTTAGAAAGCGTTACGTAATATCAATTTAATCACACATAGGACAGCACGTCTGGAGTCCACCTCTACTCAAGTCTGGACGAAAGCATCAGCTAATGTTCTGTGCCCCAGGACTGAGCTGACCTCTCTCATGCTGTTCCATCCTCAGGGGACTTCTTTGCTTCCTCCCTCCCACCACATTTATTTCTTCCTCCACGGCTTTGCTGTCTACTCAATTCCTCTCCTTGTACAGTAGCTTGGGAAAAATCACTCCAGGCAAGGATTTTGAGTCTCTCAGCTATGACGTTGAGGAGATGCGACCTGACACACAGAAGCAAGAGGGAAAAGGTGGGGGTTACAGGCTAGCCACAGCTGAAGACTCAGACAATCTCGAGTCCCTTGTAGGAGAAAGGCTAGGTTTCAGTGAGTCACCCAAGGGAAAGCATCCTGATCCTGAAAAAGAAATAGGAGCGAGGAGGATTCAGAGAAACGTTCTCCTGCTAGAGGCTGTGAGCATGCTGAGAGAAGCAGCAGTGAGAGAAAAAGGGAGATGTGCAAGAACCATTGATTATTTCCTTGGCAAAGTAGCAAAGTTCTCTGTTACAGGAAAATGGCACATGGGGGTTTTGTGCCCCAAGAGATGAATGCACTTCTGGTAGGCATGCCTCTCAGCAAACACAACGCCAGGGGAACTAGCAAAAGGTTTTACAGGGAAATGTACTATCTACCCCAGTTAAAAATCACATCACTGTGCTGGAACTTGAGATGATGTTTAGAGAAACAAACAAACAAACAACAAATAACTTGAGCAACACCAGAAACCAACTCATATAGCGTATTTCCCCACCCCTTCTATGTACAACATGTGACACCATATTGGTCCAAAAAAGGACAGGAAACTTTAATGCAAGCAGTTAGCCTTCATTTTCTACAAGTCACTTCTCAGGACAGCAGAACATTCAAATTGCCTGGGTCTCCCAATCTGTAAAGCAGAGGTAAGAGTCACCAGGACAGGGATGTTCTTGTCATTTCCATCTCATCCATGTCCCCCGTACCAGGAGCACAGGGAGGAACAGCATCAAGGTGAATGAGCATGAAAGAGGCCAGTTGTCAAGCCAAGCACCAGTCCCAAGGGAAGGGACAGCAACAACGTGGAACAATTTATGTAAGTGATGCAGCTCTCAGGAGAGAAGAGCAGCAATAGCACAAAGCAGGACGTGCTAAATACAGATTGTAGCAGGTGGTCCAAGAACTGGCTGTGATTTCAGCAACCGCTTTATCCAAACCGGACGGAACTGCCTACCGCACAGCCCTGCAACAGCAAAAAGCAAGCTAAAAAACACAAAAGCAGAACAGGCGACTGAGAAGATTCAGCAACCGCAGATTGCCAGGAGATGAGTTTTACCCTGAAAATATTCCCACAGATGTCAAGAGAGTGTGACAATTTAATGTATGAACAACACGGAAGCAAACCCAGGCCTCTTGCAACAGAGCCACAGAATCATAATTTTGGCTGGGACCTATCTCCAGAGGTCATTTAGTGCAAGCCCTGCTCAAAGCAGGTCTAAATGAGATCTGGTTGGCAAGGATGTGCCCAGTCAAGTCAAATACCTTCAAGGATGGAGGTTCCACAACCTCTCTGGGCAACATGTTCCACTGTTTAACTACCCCCACACTTAAAAAAAAAAAATTTCCCCTGATATCTAATTGAAATTTCCCATGTTTCAACTTGTGCTTGTTGTCTCTCATCTCATCATTACACACAACCAAAAAGAATCTGGGTACATCTTTTCTATATCCTCTGATCAGGTAATTGCACACAACAAAAATATCCCACGTCTGCCTTCTCTTCTCAAAGCTGAACAGGCCCAGTTCTCACACTTTGTTCACATGCCATGTTCTCCAGCCCCCTGATCATCTTAGTGGTGCTCACTGGGCTTGCTCCAGTATTTCACTTAGATGAAGTGCACTTCTTGCACTGGGGAGCCCAAACTGGACCCAGTACTCCAGATACAGTCCAACAACTGCTGAAGACAGGGCAAAGATCGCTTTCCCAGACCTGCTGGCTACTTCCTAACCCAGCCCAGGGTGCAGCCGGTCACCTTTGCTGCAAGGGCACACTGATGCTTATGTTTGATTGTCAATGATACATCCATCATATGTCCATGATATTGTCCATCAGGACACCCAAATCTTACACTGCAGGCCCACCTTCCCAGACAACCGGTCCCTAGCCTGTACTGCTGCAGGGGTTATTCCCTCCCAAATAGAAGGCTTAGAACTCACTCTTGTTGAGTATCTTAAGACTCCTGCCAGCCCATTTCTCCAGCCTTGCCCTCCTGCATTTTCACCACTCCTCTCCATTTGGTTTCATCTACAAAACAGCTTCTTACAGACACAAAAAGCTTCAAGAAGGAGCAAAGATCCCTACAGAGCAGTTGGGACTCTTGTTGAAGATCATCAGTGAAATTTTTATCATTTCTGCACATTTTGTTCACTTTGTACCGTCCAAGCTATGAAGAAATAAGCCAAATTCTTTTCTCATTCATAGCACTCTAAGCTTGAAGTCCATGAATTTGACACATTTACAACACTACTCCCCATGTGTGTGTGTGTGTGCGTGCATGCATACACACCCACACAGATGGCTCAAGAGATGAAACAATTGAAACACGAATATTGCAGAATTTGAAAGAGCACCTGGCTATACAGTCAGGACCAAGGTATACACTCAAAGCCTAAACGGGCAAGAGGAACCTTAGCTTTGGTCTTTCCTGACCTGAGTCCTCTGCACTGCATCTTAAACAGGCAGCAACTGTTAACTTCATAAACAATAAGAAATATTTCTGAAGACTTTAAAACATGCCATCAACCAAGGATGCTACCATCATATCAACAAGTCATATATTCCTGACAATGATGATATATAGATAACTTCACTTGAAGGTTAGGTCATGAAGCATCTTGCTCATTTATCTCTGCGTTCACATGGAATGAGTCACCACCTATACTCATGTGAACAAACTCTTCCTCAAAGAGCTTATAAATCGAGAGTGATGAATAGCATACAAAGATTAGGGAAGACAAACTATTCAGTCAAAAGAAACAGAATGTATATCATACACAATGTAAAATACCATCTGACTTGCACTAGCTTTTCCACATGCAGTTGCTAGTTGGCCAATTCCTTGCAGCAGTTTTTCATCACAGAAGTGGATCATGAGGAAAGACATAAATATTTCAACAAGTTTCTAAGCAACTGAAAAACAGTGCTTTGCAAGGGATATATTAAGTCAGTGTTTAATCCTAGTCTTTACTAGGAAATAAGGTGAAGTTTCACTTCAGTTTTTTTTCCAAACCAATTGTTAGGTTTCACTGAACTTTTCAGTATGAACAACAGAGTTATAGTTTTCATGTGTACGTACCAGCTGAGGTAAACACTATCAATTGTCCTAGTCCTGCAAACATTTTGTGGTGTGCCGACTAAATTGAGGGGGAAGAGCTTTTCATCCACACGGATACACCAGCACCACATGTCCCACCTGTGGGGAAGGGGAATCTGCCATGCCTTAAAAGGTACCGGTAACTTACCCCAAACATCTGCCGAAGGTCAGGATCTCGAAAGCGGAAGGGAATGTTAGACACATGAAGTCGTTTTGGAGTGGATTTGCTCTCGGTATTCTCACTGCTCTGTGTCTGTGATTGCTGTCCATCTGTCTGTGCCCCTCCTTCTGTCTGCTGAAATCAGAAAGACAAAAGCGTGTGCATGAATAGAAATCACACAAACTCCTTTCACGTGCTTTGTCTATCTCTTCTTAGGTATTAGCACTACACTTGCAATTGCAGTATCTAGCACTTGACAATTATTTCGATAAAGTCAATAATGCTTAACAATTGTTCTGCTGTTGTTCTTCTCCCTTTCCATGAGTAAACAGTAATGAGATCTCAGCCTCCCTCCCCTCGTATCACCTTTTAGCTTAGATGATTTGCTTTTGGTTTTCTTAAAATGCTTCTCTTTTCTCCTGTTCTTCCTCACTTCAGCTGCCACCATATGAAAGCTCTAATGAAGAGGCGGATCTTTCATATCCTGAAGCTGGGAGGTAGTACCGCCACTCTAATCTCATGTGGCAGGATGTTCATGCAATCATCAAAATCCCACAGCTGAAGTGGCAGCTTTTCACTGGGCCAATACCAGAATTGCATCCCCAGGCAAAACGGCATCTGCTCCGTCAGGCTCCCTTCAGAGAAACATTACCCCAAAAGAAGATCTATAATTAAATGGTAAAATCCATATATGAACAGCTTACGGATGTCTTTGATTAACTTTTCTTGTACATTTAGAAGTCAGCCCAGGGACAGGAAACACTCATTACCACTGCAGGATTTATAAAAACTCGGAAGTGTTACATTCTGCTACCAATTCCACAGCTAAAACAAGGGAATTTGTTCCAGCATTCCCAAGCACTGACCAGTACAGCAAAGTCAGGTCAAAGAGTAGGCCAGGGGCACTTATGCACAGAAAAAAGCACAGCAAGGCGGCAGAGGAATAAAGGAGACCGGTGTGCCAGAGGAGAGATCTAATGCCCCCCTCGAGATGACTGGCAGGGGAGAAGAAAGGAAGAGAACCTCAGCCCCTTGTGTTGGGCTGGGACTAAGAAGTGGTAGATTTGAGCAGAGCACTAAATATAAAGGCAAGGTCCCTTTGCAAAACGGCTTGATGAGAAAACGATGGTTTTCGCACTTTAGTCAGAAAAATGACCTCAAAACCTCAGAGCTACAGAACAAAGTAGACTACAATTTGGTTGGTTTTATTGCTCTGTCCCTTTCCAGAGCATGCATTGACAGGCCAAGGTATTCAAAGAGCACCCACCCACACACTTTATCCCCTGCTGCTTGCCTCAGCCTCCTAAGAGTCATGCTTTGACCACCCACATGATGCACTTAAGTGTCATTTCATTTCTTTAGCTGCCAACCTGACTTCCTCCTTAACCCATCAAGTGAAAAGAAGTTCTATGAGAAGGTAAGGACCGTGTAATTGCTAGTCAGCCTTTTTTAGGCACCTTCAAGAACACAGGTAGGCCTTAAAAATAAAGATTTAAGAGCAGGTTGGCTGGGGTTTTTTGCTCTTTTGGGGCCTTTTTTTTTTTTTTAACCCCCTGTTTTAAATACACAATTTGAGTAACAAATTGAGTAACAATTTGAGTAACAGAGAGGAAAGAAATCTCAAGGGAGTTGCCCACACCGACCCTCCAAGTACTGACAGGACTTTGCTAGACTGCTCTGCACATCACTCAATATACAACACTTCATGAATATTTGGACAGAAACATCTCTCCACAGATAAACTGAACTGGCAACATTAAGAGAGCTTCTTCTGGCCAGAAATGTCTCTTACAGACATGACCTTGAACTTGCATATTGGTTATAAAGCACTGACAAGAGCAAGCGAACACTAAGCACTGGGGTCTTGTCGTGCTGAGCAAAGCAGTGGCAGCTTTCCATTTTATTTCAGTAGGGCTGTGCAGGCAGCATAAAACACGTTTCATCTGGTTAATATAAATTAAGCTGTGATAGGAAGAATGAAGATACCGCCCTGTGAGTATCTCTACTTCCCAGAGCCATGCAAGTCTCGGAGAAGCCTAGCAGGATGAAGCATTTTTATTTGGCTAAGACTCATCCGTCCCCCAAACATCAAATTTTCGATAACAACCTCAGAAACTTCCATTTGATAGTATCTAAATAGCTGCCTCCCCCTCTCCAAGTTCCCCTCTCTTCTCCTATCCTCACCCCTATGACAAAATCCATCTCCAAACACACACAGAGTGCACCCTAGGGGAAGAATCAATGCAGCTGGCTTGCGATTAAATCACACCATGCTATTTGGTGGTTTTATTTTTATGACTCCATCACAGTCCTTTGCTCCTCAGGGCAAATCTGTCCAAGAAGGACAAAACACAAGAGTAGCCTATCCATCACCACTGTACCCAACACCTGCAAGTAAGTGCTCCAAAATAACTCCCCAAAATCAACGCTCCTGCTAAAACTCTACAATCCATTTTGGAGCCCTGTTAGTGCAATTTGCCAAATCCCGTGTTTTCTATGGCTTTGCATGGAAGTGGGGAAACATCCATGCACACAGATGCATCCTCAAATAAATACACTAGCGCATCTTCTGCGGTGTAAATGAGAAAAGACAGAGACTCTGAACGGTGACGACAAAAATGGTTTAGACTTTAACTTCAGCTATAGGTGGCACAGAACTGGATCTGCCACTTCCACAAGAAAGGAAATTGGGAGGTTGTTTGCAGTCCTCTCCCATCCATTTGTTCGCAGACAGAGGGCAGAACTCCTTTCTTACCAAGGGTGCAATGTATCATGTACAGCGGCCGGCTCAAAAACACTCACAGCTGTTCCTGCATATGGCAGAGTGCTGCTGCCACACAGGAGTCATTCTGCAGCACGTGACATGTGTACAGGAAGACAAAGGCTTCAAAGAGGAGAAACAATAGAGCGAACATGGGATCTCAGTCCACTCTTACCTTTTAGACTACACTAAGAGTCCCCAAACGCTTTTCAGGCTTTCACATATTCAGATTTTTCAGCAGTAGTTGTTTCAGCATTAAATACCTTCTCTCTCTGCATGCTGTAGCTCCCTCATTTCTATCATCCATGGCCCTAAGGTAAGATTTGAACTTTCAGCCACTATAACATTAGCTCAATACATTTGTCTACTGCCACACATTCAGCCACAACATAAATGAAAGAAATAGTCTCCTCAGATCTTGCCTTTTTTTCCGCCCTCCTTTTATAGTTATTCCTTGTCTTAATTCATTAGGAAGGAGATGAAAGGAAGGGCCTGAAGCCTGTTCTCAGGCAGCACATAATGCAGACTGGTAACAGCACTACCCTGACCAAGCCAGATGATAAAAGCCTGCATTTCACTGAGTGCCCAGTCCCCAGCCAGACTCCTTCCCCATGTCGAGTTTCAGCTCCTTCCTTCTGGCCTCATGTCAACATTTCACAGCAAAGAAGTGGCCCTCTCCCTTTGCTACAGATAGCAATTCAGCTCAGAAGGGAGCCAACACACGTTCCCTAGGTCTCAATGCCTGTCATCAGGCAACACAGAGACATGCTGCGGCACAGATCCTGTGTTTAGAAACAGTATTGGATTCACCTTACCTCCTCAGCACAGTCTGTGTAACATATCCTTACGCAGGTGATAATGTCATTCATGCCTGCACACGCAAGCTTTGAGCTCTGCTCAAGGTCACTGAGAAATACATCAGAGCTCAGGACACGTGCAATATGTGCTTCACTCTTAACTACTTGCTGCCTGTGCCCCCGTGCCAGCTCCTCCCTTACACCCATCGGCAGTAAGGAAACCCTAAGAAAGAAGAGGTAGCTGCAAAGAGAAGTATGGATGTATACATGTGCACGTATGCCTGTAAAAGGGGAGAAGGACACCTGGCAACACAAGGGTGTTCTGAAAGGTCTGGGGGCAACTTTAAAACCATCTTCTCGCCTCTCAACCGGACTCTTCTGTCCTAAAGCAGCTGGTGAGCAAGCAATTGCTAAGGATTTCTCCTCAACAGGAGGGAGGCAGGGGCTCCAGCATCCCCTGAGCTCCGAGCAGATCTCCATCTGCATGGCCAGACAGAGGGCTACCTCCCCGACAAGCCAGACAAATACCAATGCGACAGGCCAGCACAGAGAGTATTAATACCCAGCACATTCTGTTTCCATCTCCCACTTGCTTCTAGGACTGGAATCGCTTCAGGTCCAAGTTATAGAAAAGCAAAAAACAACCCACTGTCCTCTCCCCCAGGAAGCAGGCAGTCCAAAAATGTTGTGAATCATAATGAGGAGGTTAAGAACCATAAATCACCGCAAAGAAAATATTTACAAAATACAAACTGTAACTAATAACTATACTTAAAAGGGGACTTGAGTGGCTTACAGAATCTGGGAGACAGTCTGTGCTCACTCCACTGCTTCTAGACCAGTCTCAGATCAAAAAAATGCCCAAAACACTAAAACAAAACAAAAAAAACAACCAAAAAACCTTGCTTGGATCAAGAGCTTGAGGAACTGTGTGGAGACAAGGACTGAAAGCTATGACTGGCAGAAGGCAATCGTCCCACCACAAAGGAGAACACAGACAACGTGGGAAGATCTCTGCAACTTCTAGTGAAGGACTCGCGTCAAAACAACCAGTCACCCACCAATGAAGAGATATCCACTGAGCAGATTTGGCGGAAAAACGAGTGAAGAATTAGGCACTAGACACAAAACCCCTCTCCTGCCCCACCGCTCTACCAGAGTAGGACTCAGGTTGTAGCACATCCAAGAGCAAAGGGAACTTCTGCTGCTTAAGTGACACTTGTTTAGCAGACAGAAGACCACAGGGCTGCTAATCACCTTTCAACGGCACCAAATACAACTTTAGAATTATATTCATGTACTTGATTTTTCAGAGCTGCCAGCAGTGTTATATTAAAAAAAAATTGAGCTATACTACAGGCGCAATTAACAACATGCCCAAGTACTCTGTATGCCAAAAACTGGACAAAAAAACTGCTAAGGACGTACCAAATAACTTCTGCTAGGCTTTTAATTATTTTCAATACAGTCAGATTAATTCAGTGCATATTTTTTCTGATTGTTAGTTACCTGGTTTGAGACATACTGAAGCTGAAGTCATTTTGGTCACTTTCCTCATTAAATAAAGATATATCCCA